ATGCATGATTTTATAACTAATTTAGTGGGTAAGCAATTTCCGGTTTGTTTCTGTCTTCCTCAGTAGAATCTAAGCTCTAGCAAAACAAAGATGGTGTCAGATATGCCAATATCTACTGAGGGCCTGGCACGTTGTCCATTAACATTTATGAAATATTAATACATAAAAAAAGAAATGAGATAAACAAAAGCATTCTAACAAGTCCATTCTGGAATAGCATAATCATGATATAATAGGCAGGCATTATTTCTTCTGTCTTTCTGAAAAATGAGGAAGTGTCCATCTTGTAAGCTAGGAAGACATTTAGATTCTGGGGAGCTATTTTTGGCAGCTCTGACTTAAGAGACTCACACTGCCTGAACCTGTCCCCAGGAATCCTTTCGGTTACAGCAGAGTGCTAGAAATCCAGTACTTTTCCAGAACCTCCTATTCAATAAAAGGAAAAGTACTCAGTCTCTCTAGATTATCTTCATCCAATGTACATTAGCCCTTATTCACTGACTCATGAAAGGAGAGGAGCTTAAAACTGCCTGTCATTTCATAAATGATGAAATGGGCCCAGAAAACGGAATTGATTTTCCTAAGCCTAACACTCGTTAATAATAAAGGTGATGCAATGGGGAACAGAATCATTCTTACAGTCCTCTCTCTCTCTCTCTCTTCCATTATCTCTCTGTCTCTTATCTCTCTCCTGAATTATGCGTATGAAAAAATTATTATATTAGGGAAAAGCTCTTGATATGTTAAGTGACAGAAGTAAACTAGAATTGTATATATAATATATATTCGATTGTAAAATATATAAATATAGGGACAGTACATATTTGTGTGTCATAATTTCTGAATTATCTATGTAGAAAATATTGTTAGTCTCTGGCTGGTAGGTTTGTAGTTTATTTTTATTTCATTTATGTTTTTCTGCATTAAAAATTTATTTTCAGTGAGCATATAACACATTATAATCAGAAATACAGGGTTTTAATTTCTTGCTCTAATTTTTTTGGAAGATATTATTTTGTTCAGCTCTGTAGGGTAGAAAGAGTTTCAACCTGGGGACCAGCAGTTAGCGTAATGGCTATGTCGCTGGACTCCCACGTAGTTGACCATGGTTCGCGTCCTGGACCCGGTGGCTTAAAACTCACGCCAGGCACGTGTGCGTGCGTGCCCAAGATCCCGAGAGGAGAATGGAGGAGAAGGGATTGCGGCGTGACCATCCCCCCT